CCAAGGACCTCCCTAAACACCCACCTGAGACCTGGAGGGTTAGAAATCTTCCAGGGCTGGGTTTTCCCTTTCTGCTCAATTGTGGCGGCTGGAAGGAAGGCGGCTGGGTGGGTGGACTACAACTCCCAGAATCCCCCAGCCTGCCAGGCAGCTCCCCCCCCCCCCCCATTGGAGACTGGCTGGGGGAATTCTGGGAGTTGGAATCCACCCGCCTTCCTTCCAGCTGCCAAGGTTATTATTGATGGGCAGTTTTCTATGGGAGGAGACATTGGGGAGTTTCTAGGCCCACTTTATGGCCGCCGTTTTTAAGGGCACCGCGGCCGTCGTTAAGCGAGTCGTAGGGTCGCTGAGGGAGTCCGGCTATCCCGGGGACTCTGTCGGAAGGCCGCAAAATGGGTAAAATCTCATGTGACCGTGGCAACCGTCATAAATGTGAGTCGGTTCCCAGCGTCTGAGTGTTGATCTGCGGCACCATGGGGACGCCACAATAGTTGTTAAGTGTGAACAATGGTTGTTAAGTCAAGATTTTCAGTGCTGCTGTAACTTTGGTCACTAAAAAAACTATTGTAAGCCAGGGATTACCCGTGCACATGTGTATTTTTATATAGCTACCCCTAACCCTGATATATATATATATATATATGTATATAAACTCGACACCCATCCTTCACTACGAAATTAGGTGGTGGAGCTTCGTTTTGGGGGAGGAAAATAAGGGGAAAAAAACAATTCTGCCTCTGCCTAAAAGCATCCATGGGTATTCATCTGGCTAGCATCCTGTCAGTGTGTGAGAGCATTGAGGACTGTTTGGAAACTGAAACAGTATTTGCTGTGTGAGCAAGGAGACAGCAAGGAGCCTGGGCGTGGTTTAGCTCAACTGTTCTGTACTAAAGCTGGTTGGCTGCTATGAAACTGAAACTGAAACTCCTTTCCTCTGCTTGTGTTTTGCCTTTGGAAGAGATTTCTTTTCAGGAATAGAACTCCTTAGCATCAGACCGTGTTAATAATAATTAATAATTAATAATAATAATAACAACAACAATAATAATAAAGGAAATATTAATGTTTTGATGGTCATTTCAGAAAACCCTTTCTTAGTGAGCCCATAGAAGCCAAGAGGAACATACGGGACCAATTTCAAGTTTGTAGGCTTTACAGTTCTGGAGATTTTGTGATGATGCGTGAGGGGCATTTTGCAGATAGATAGATAGATTAGATATATAGATAAGATTAGATAAAATAGATAAATTAGATAGATAATAGAGATATCTATAGATATATATGTAGATAGATAGATATAAATAAGATAGATAATAGACAGATACAGATATAAATATAAAGATATGCAAAGATATAGGTATGCAGGCATATGTAGGTAGATAGATATTGTAACTAAAACGAAAGACACTAAATAAAGGAAACAAACCGAACGCGCACACACACGAGCTGAAGGGTCCGGGCCTTACCAGGATTTCTTCTCCGCTGTCATATTTCTGTTCGATCTCCTTGCCCAGGTCTCCCTCAGGGAGACGCAGATCCTCCCGGACATCCCCGCTGTCCTGGAGCAGAGAAAGGTACCCATCCTGGATCCCAATGAGCTGCGAGAGGGAGAGGCAGGGGCAGAGAGGGGGGGGGGGTGAGCACAGAGGCCGCCTCGCCTGCTTCCAAAGGCCCCTCTCTCTTGGGAAAAGCCCCC